AATTTTAGGTAAATCAGGTTACTCTGGCTTTTACATTTAAGAATCAGAATGACTTGCTTAATTATGGAGCAAATTATCAGGAGTTGTGTTGAATTAGAGTTGGAGGAATTCTCCCCTCCAAAATATGAATGTTGCACAGTGTAACCTATAAATGAAGTTTTGTATTGAGAATGATATGCTACAATCTTTTGATATTTAGTGGTTTATATAACAATGTGCTGTTTGTAATGCATTCTTTTTATTCAAAAAGCATGCATAAATCAATATATGATAATTTAATTAAAAATAATAATAAACGTGTAATAATTTTAAATTAAATATATAATACTTTAAAAATATGACTTGATATATTATATTATTAATTTTTTCTATTTAAAGGGTGAAACATAATAGTTTATATATTCTCTCGTTAAGTACTATACAGTGAGCGGAGCCACTTGGAGATTAGGAGGGGCGGTGGCCCCCTGGGATTTGGAAAAAAATAAATATATATAATTAATTTATTAATTATTACTATTAAAATTTTAAATATTATATTTTTAATTGTTAAAACACATAAAATAAGTAAAGATTCAATAAAAATGGATTGTTTAGGAGTCCAAATATAATTCATATTATTCATTATTTATTTTAACAATTTAATTGTTTATATTATTTAAATAATCCATCAAAGGCTCATAATTATCTACAAAACCCTAAAAAAAAAAAAAAAGATTCCTTGTGCTAGAGTTTCAATATTGATCATATTTGTAAATTTGTAGAAAAATATTATCCTAAGGATTTTTTAGAGATGGAGAATATTCATTTGAAATCAGAGTTTCGACATTATAAGATTAAAATAAGTTGTGATCAGGGTTTTCAGAATTGTCAAATATTTATGAGTTATGTCAATGACTTGTGGAGATTAGAAATCAGAGGTTTATAGTCTCATTTGCAAGTTAATTAATTTGATACTTACTCTTTTAGTTTCTACGGCAACAATAGAAAGAACATTTTCTACTATAAAAATTGTGAAAACAAGACTTCGCTGTAAAATAAAACATGAATTCTTTTTAAATTTGTTAATTGTTTATATTGAAAAAGAAATAGTTCAGACATTCAATATAAACTTTATTATAGATAGATTTCATGATATAAAAACTCATTAAATATTATTT